CAAAAAACTGTTAGAACTGATCAATGAATTCAGTAAAGCAGCAGGATACAAAATTAATATTCAGAAGTCAGTGGCATTTTTATATACCATTGATGAACTTTTGGAAATGGAAATTAAGAAAACAATCCCATTTATAATTGTATCGAAAACAATAAAATACCTGGCAATAAAATTAACCAAGGAGGTAAGAGACCTGTTCTCAGAAAATTATAAGTCATTGAGAAAAAAAATTGAAGAAGATACAAATAAATGCTAGCATATACCATGCTCATGGGTAGGAAGAATCAACATCCTTAAAATGCCCATACTACTCAAAGCAATCTGTAGATTTAATGCAATTTGTATCAGAATACCAGTGGCATTTTCAGAGAGCTAGAACAGATAAATCTAAAATTTATATGGAATCATAAAAGACACCAAATAGCCATGGCAATCTTGAGAAAGGAGAACAAAGATGGAGGTATCACATTGCCTGATATCAAACTATACTACAAGGCTATAGTCATTAAAATATCATGGTACTGGCATAAAAACAGATACATTGATCAATGGAATGGAATAGAGAGCCCAGAAATAAATGCACACCTGTATGCTCACTTAATATATGACAAAGTAGACAAGAATATACAATGTGGTGAAGACAGTTTCTGCAATAAATGATATTGGGAACACTGGACAGATACATGCAAAAAAAAAGAAACTGGACCACCTTCTTACACAGCATACAAGAATAGACTCAAATGGATTAAAAATTTAAATGTAAGACCTAAAACCATAAAACTTCTAGAAGAAAACATAGACAGTAATCTCTGATATTGCTACTAGTAATTTATTTTCAGATATATCTCCTTGGGCAAGGGAAACAAAAGAAAAAATAAACAAATGGGACTACATCAAACTAAAAGGTTTTGCACAGCAAAGGAAACCGTCAAAAAAACGAAAAGACATCCGAATAGGAGAAGATATTCACTTATATACATCTGATAAGAGGTTAATATCCAAAACATATAAAGAACTCATACAACTCAACAACAATAAAACAAACAATCTTATTTTAAAAATGGGCAGAAGACCTGAACAAATATTTCTCCAAAGAGGGACTACAGATGACCAGTAGACATATGAAAAGATGCTCAAGGTCACTAATTATTAAAGAAATGCAAATTAAAACCACAATGAAATACCACCTCACACCTGTCAGAATGGCTGTCCTCAATAAATCAAAGAACAAGTGTTGGCGAAGATATGGAGAAAAGGGAACCCTCATACACTATTGGTGGGATTGCAAATTGGTACAGTCACTATGGAAAACAGTCTGGAAGTTCTAAAAAAATTAAAAATGGGTCTATCTTTTGACCCAGCAATTGCACTTCTGGATATTTATCTAAAGAAAATAAAACAGTAATTCTTAAAGATCTATGCACTCCAATATTCATGGCAGCACAAGTTACAATAGCCAAGATATGGAAGCAACCTATGTGCCCATCAATAGGAGATTGGATAAAGAAGTTTTGATTCATATATACAGTAGAATATTACTCAACCATTAAAAAAATGAAATCCCCTTATATGCAGAATCTAAGGAACAAAAAGAACAAACTCGCAAATATAGAGGACAATCTGGTGACGGCCAGAAGGAAGGGGAGTTTGGGGGCTGGGAGAAAGGGGTGAAGGGTTAAAGAAGTACAAATCAGTCGATAAGATGGTCGAGCACGGCACAGGGAATGCAGTAGCATTAATATATTGGCTAGCTGGAGAGCCAGAGGAGAGAAGGAGCAATTAGGGGTATATAAATGTCTAACCAGTGTACTGTATACTTGAAACTAAAAATAAAATTAAAAAAAAAACAAAAACAGCTCACTCTTTCTGCTCATTTAATATAATAAATGCTGTTAAAAACTAAAATCTCCAGAAATTGAGAAGTTGACTGAACTTTGTTCAGTGACCTACTTTTTCACCAACGGTTGTCACAACCCAGTGCTATTGCTGTTCAGTGAGAGAGATTTAGAAGCTCTCAGGTGCATACAGTGCAGGTAGAGTGCCCTGCCGCATGACCTCCTGGGGTGTAGTTGAAGGTCTTTTTGACTTCCCGTGCTTGGCACAGCAGAGTGAACTCTTCCTCCTGGAGCTTTCTCGTCTGAACCTCACTGTACACCATTGCAATTGTCTCACAAACCAAAGAGTCAGTGTCACCTATAACTCCACTCTACCTTTGTAAATGCAGTTCCCTTTCCCGAATGCCATTATTTGTGGCCATTTTATTAGATAAATCACGCAGGAAATCTGCTTCCCTGCATCTGTAGTCCAGAGTCAGAGGTTCTATGTAAATGTTTCTGACTTGTTCTGCAGGATGATGTGTCCATTAAGCAAGAACTCGGGCCACGTTCTGCTCTGGCATCTTGCTAGACGCTGAGCTCACAGTGGGCATGAGTGAGATGTGGTTTTTGTCCTCTGGGAACATGTGATTTACTAGGGGAGAGATGATTAAGAAGGCAGCTACACTACACTGAGACAAACGCAGCAATGGGGAAAGTGGGAGGGTCACTCAGACTAAGGTTGCGGGAAGTCAAGGTGGACTTGCCCTATAATGGTTTCCTGTTTCATTAATTTTCAGTAAACTCTTGTCACAGTGTATTGGCTTTTTATCTTTGAGATTTGAAATATGTTAGTAATTTCTTCTTGTGATTTTAACTTTATCTTTTAGCATAGTTCTTCTGATCCATTCTGGGGAATGCCTGGTATGTGAGATTAGCCCTAAGAATCTAGGTTTTTAAGATTTAAACAATTGCTTTTTCCTTAATAAAGCACTGGAAACAGAACAGTAAGCCTTCTGAGTAAAAGAACCATTATTCATCTATTTATTCATTCAGCAAACAGTTGAGTGCCAGCCCCCATCTTGGCAAAGCTGCTGTACCAGTGGAAGAGACAGACAGGGTTCTGAGCCCCCTCTCCAGATTTTCCTGGGTGTTCACCATTGCTCCTGTTCTACAGACAGTAGGTTGCTTCTGCCCTTTGGAGGGAGCACATGACTCTTCTGCCTGTGGTTTAGAGATCAGAGAAATTAGGGGAGGCTCCATGGAGGACCTGCTAGTTGATGGTCTACTCAATCTGTTCAGAGTTTTGCTTCCATTAGGATTATTTCTCCTTCCCTTCCTCCCTTCCTCCCCTTTCTCTTCCTCTGCCTGTCCTTCTTACCCCCACATCTTTACTCAAATCCCTAAGACTCTATTCCTTTATACATATGAGCTATGTAGATCTCCCCACTTTTCCTTCTAAATACCTCACCCCTGCTGCCTTCTCCACCCACACCTTCACTGCCTGAAGTGGCCCTGCTCTTTTAATTTTATTTTTTACTGTGAAAGAGACCACTTCAATTTCCTTTTCATATGCCCTGTATAATGTCATAAGCCTAATTCAGGCACTCAGAAACACCCAACTTGGCCTTGTCGATTCTTCTCCAAACTACTGCAAGACTTAAGAACAGAACACACCAGATTTTCTTCCTCTTTCTCCTTTGCTGCCCTTTCATCCTCTCACCAAATGTTGAAACAGGAGAGGCTCTCAAGGCTTAGACCTGGTCCCTTCTTTTGTTTCTCTCTACCCAGGTCATCGGATCCTTGCCAATGGCTTAATTCTTTTTGTGTGTCACAGGATCTCAAGTTTCTATCTCAGTGCTATTTCCTTTGTGCTCCAGACCTGTGTGTGCACTGCCTATGTGGCATCTTCTGGGATTTCTCAGATAGAAATGTCAAAGCCAAACTCAGTTGTCTTTCACCAACCTCTTCCTTTGGTGTTCCCTGTCTCAGAGGGTGTTACCCATCTAGCTGCATGAGGTGGAAGTCTGCGATCTCCTACAGCAGCCCACCTTCTGTGGCTGTTGGAGTCTCTGGAATATGACCACCCGTCTCCACTGTCAGGTCCCCAGTTCAAATGCTGGTCCTCTCTGTTAGGACCGCTTCATAATCTTTTGATGCCTCTTCCCATTTTACCATATATATTCCAACAATTATACCTGGATACATACCCAAAAGAACCGAAAGCAGGGACCCGAACAGGTATTTGTACACCAGTGTTCACAGCAGCTTTATTCACAGTAGCCAAAAGGCGGAGACAACTGAAATGTCCATGGGTAGATAACTGGATAAACAAAATGTGGTCTATACATTCAATGGATTATTTTTCAGCCTTAAAAAGGAAGGAAATTCTAACATATGCTACAAACTGGATGAACCTTTAGGACATTATGCTAACCGAAATAAGCCAGAAATGAAAGGGCAAATACTGTATGATCCCACCTCTGTAAGGTACCTAGAATAGTCAAATTGTCATAGACACAAGGTAGAATGATGGTTACCAGGCACTGAGAGGGGAGAGAGGGATGGGTCATTGTTGTTTACTAGATATAAAGTTTCAGTTTGGGATGATGAAAAAGTTCTGTGAATAGAGATGGACAGTGATTTCACAACAATGTGAATGTACTTAATGCCACAGAACAGTACTCTTAAAAATGGTTAAATGGTAAGTTTGATATCATGTATATTTTATCAGTAATAAAAAATAGGTTTATCAATACTGCATGTAAATCTGCAGATACCTCAAGAATAAAAATTTTAATAAAAAACTACAGATAGAAAAAAATAGGTTTATATCTTTCGCATTCTTTGTTCTGCTTGTTGGAACATTCGTTGGTTATTGAATTTGTATCAGTATCATAGCTGATAGAGTAAGAAATTAACCTGTAGCTCCTGAAATTTCTTCCTGCCTTAGAGTCTTTTAAGATCTGGCTACATCTGCATGGTCAAATTATGGAGTGTGCTCATTGTAATTCAGACTATTTGAGCCCTTCGACTTTTTAAAAATAAAAAATACGATCAGGTAATAAATCTCTACTTAAAGGCTGGTGAAATGGAGTTAGCAAATTTATCATTTCTTTATGTATGCTAATATGTGAGAGAAAACAACTCAAGTTATTTAACTCTGGCATTTTCATGTGTTTCCAGGTATACCTTGAAAGACTTCTAACATATGCAGAGATAGACATCTGTCCAGCTAACTGGAAGCGAATTGTTCTTGGAGCAATCCTGCTTGCCTCCAAGGTGTGGGATGACCAGGCTGTGTGGAATGTGGATTACTGCCAGATCCTGAAAGATATCACGGTGGAGGACATGTGAGTATGTGTGTGTTGGAGAGGTGAGCACTCATAGTCAGGGGAACTGTTTGGGAAGAAGATTACATCACTTTTGAATGCTCTGTATAGTATAGAATTAATGAGTGTGACGCAATGTCTGTTGTGAACTGATGTACAATAAGGATGTGACCGTGGAATATTATATGCAGAAATCTGTATTTATCTTCATTGTGGATCATGAACAGGTACTGGTAACAGTTTGTTTTGTGAAACTGGTTTACTGAAAAACTATTACAGTAACGTCTTCCTTTACCTTCATTAGAAAGGTGTAGACCAGTGCCTTTCCCGGTCTGTATCTACTCCTTTTTCATCCCAGCTCTTTGTCTCACTGCAGACTGATAACAGAGTTAGTGTCACACACCAGTCTTTTGTGGGCAACAGCCTGCCCAAAAAGCAGAAAGCTAAAATATTGTTTCTTTGTAGTTTCAGAGAGAACATTTTTACCATTTTGTCATATTTTATAAGTTCAATTGCTTAAAGTCAACATTCTGTCCCTGTGGCCTGTCATGTTTCTCACTGTTAGGGCAGCATATTCTCCCTAGCTGGGCACAGGCCCCCACAGCTCAGTGGCAGTGCCAGTTCCTGAACCCCAGGGGTGAAGAGTAACTGTCCACCCCACGGCTCTCCAGGCAGCCTTCGGATTTCTCAGACTGTTCCGTCCTCAGATGTCGGTAAGGACTGTTAGCAGAGACCTGCAGGCCTGTTGTCAGAGATCTCTGGTGTCTGGGAATGCGGGAAATAGGTTCAGAGCCTCTTAGGAGGAAGGAGCTGTTTTAGAAATCAGTCAGGATAAACTTAAGAGTTCTTTGTGGCTTATAGGCACTTCTGACACTATTCATGCCAAAATTCTTCTCATATTGTTTGTTTGGCTTTCTTGGGGAAGCTTTAGGCTGAAGGAGTTTCCCAGCTGTGTCCTAATCAACATCCATGCCTCTGGACCAGTAATCCTGGGGACGTAGTGATGTAGGACAGGGCAAATTCCCCCAACTCGGGGAGCTCAAGCCCTGCACTTAGAAGAGGGTTCTTCGCAGAGTGTAAGAAAGAATTCAAACGCTCACCAAAGTTAGAGTCAAAGGAAAATTTATTGGAGAAGGGGTAGTACTCCACAGACAGAGTGGTCTATTCTCAGAGGAAGAGAGTGAGAGACCCTATGAGATATTCAGAGGGACAGACATTAGAGGACAGTAAGAGAGACAGAGTAAAGGCACTGAGAGGGACTCTGAGTGTTTGTGGAATTTGGTTTATATATAATCTTTAGTTTCTGTGAATTATAGTTTTAAGACTGTTTTTACTCATTTTCCTTTGATATGGACAAACAGTAAGGAAGGATAAGAGTATATAGCATGAAAAGGTAAGAATATGTAGTGTGAAAGGCCTGCTGGCAGTTCCTAGCCTTTGATCTATAATTTCCCTATGTTTTAGCTATAGGGAATGAATGATTTTTGTGTAGGGTGCCACTTAAAGACTCTGTTTTTCCTGTTTTTTCTTCACAGTGTGGGGAAGTGGGTTGTTCGCAATCCCAGCAGAAATCTTTCCTTGCTTTGCAGGTGTCCTCGTGGCCTGGCTGCAGGGCTGATCAACATATTGCAGTCTCTGATTGTGGCTTGATTAACATTTTAGTTCTTGTGACTCCTCGCTACATTAGTAGGATCTTCACGGTGCCTGTGACTACTATCTTGTGGGACTGTCACATTAGCACACTGGTTCCGGATTTCTCACTACCCTGGGGCTCCCCTTGCCTCTGGTTACTGACTTGCTAGGCACCTCATTTTTATGGTACCTGTGAATCACACTTGTTGATGTTCTTATGTCTTTTGTTGCAGAGCTGATCCCTGCTGCAGGTCTATAAAACTTCCTGTGTCTGTAATTCTTTATTATAAACAGTACGAAAAGTATGAAGAAGTTTTTGATAGTAAGATAATCATTTTGATTATATTTCAAAGTGAAAATAGCTACTTAAATAATTGTCATTCAGACCATAAAGGAGAAGGACATTTGGGTGCAACGTGTAAGAAATGCTGACTTGTTTCCTTTATTGGGGGTTATTCCCTCATCCATTCCCTGATATCATTTGACACTGAATTGCACACCACGGAAATGACATCAGGATTGTCCCTTCTCCTTTATGTAAAGTCGATGATGTACAACCAGTGACTTGGTGTGGATGACAGTGCTCAGGTTCTGGGAGAACAGCAGAGGACTTCCCTGCCATGAGCTGTTGTATCTACTTAAATCCAGAGGAAACTACCTTCTGACGTCAATGTCGGTCTTGGATCTTTTCATCATTTATATCCCAGCTATTTTTGAAAGGAAATGAGACATAAATACAAATTAAAGAGAACAGAAAAACAAAGAACAAAGGGCATTCAGGGTAGGGAGGAGAGTCCTTTTGTGCTATATTATTCTTAATGCACCACGATTAATTTGCTGAAATGCCAGCAAACTGAATTTTGATGTAGACGTAGGATCGGTAGATAATCCTTTTATTTTATGTAAAACCTTAAAGAAATATTTATAGATTATTTGTCAGGAGTCAGGCATTGTCCAGTTCATGAGTATCTCAGTTTGATCCTCTTAACAACCCTATAATAATACATGCACTTATTATTTCTACTTTATAGATCTGGCTACTGTGACTTAGAGAGGTTTAGTAATGCTGCAATGCAACGAACAGGTGGAGAAGCTACTTCCCAGCTTTCTTAGTCCCAGTAGTGAGAGAAGACAACAACAGAAATGACATGTACCTGTTGCCAGGCTCTCCATGGAGATGTTTTAACTAAATGCCTGAAATAGTAATTTTTTAAATTGTCATTTTCTCTTTAAATAAAAAGGTAGAAGGACAAAAATAACAGGTAATTTGGAATTCCAGATACTTGGGTTTTATTCATTAAAGGTTTAAATTACCAAGTTAGGAAAAACTAAAAGCTTGCCAAGAATATTTATAATATAATAATAGCAATAGCCATCATCATGATGATAATAATGACACCTATTTTTTATTGAACACTTCTTAGCCTCAAGGAACAATTTTTATGTGTTAATTCATTCCTCACAGTTACCCATGAGCTACAATAGTCCCCACTTATCCAAGGTTTCAGTTTCAGTTACGTGCTGTCAGCTATCTGAAGCTGTTAATAGTCTGAAACTATTAAATGGAAAATTCCATAAATAACTTATAACTTTTAAATTGCATGCCTTTCTGAGTAGCATGATGAAATCTTGAATATTCCTGCTTCCGTCCCACCTGGGATGTGAATCATCCCTTTGTCCAGCATTTTCACACTGAAATATACCCAGCCCATTAGTCATTTCACAGCCATCTTGGTTATCAGATTGGTTATCAGAGAGAGGGAGATCACATTTACATAACTTTTATTATTGTACATTGTTATAATTGTTCTATTTTATTATTAGTTACTGTAGTTCCCCCTTATCCACAGGATATATATTTCAAGACCCCCAGCGGTTGCCTGAAACTGGGGATAGAACCGAACTCTATATGGACTGTTTTTTCCTATACTGTACATACATACCTATGATAAAGTTTAATTTATGAATTAGGCACAGTAAGAGATTAACAACAATAATAATTATTACTCCATTTTACAGATAAAAATGCACTGATAAGTAAGATGCTAGGTCATTTGGCTAGTAACAAAGCAAGAATTTATGTTTCTTCTATTCCATATTTCATCCAAAGAAAATCGACATTTTTTTTTTTTTTAGCCTGGTCTGTTCCTTTATTGGAAGCCATTGATGATCATGCTCTCATCATCATGCCAGTCACGGGCTGAGACTTAGCAATTCATACAGCATTTGATGAATGCCTCCAAATGCCTGTGGCTGAGCAGAGGAAGAATGCATACAGGAAGAGCTTTTGTTCTTAAAAGGTTGGATTGTAAACAGTTTTTCTGAAGAAACTCTGGAGTGTACCCTTTTTCATCCCCATATCTGGGCTGGAGAACAGATTCTATTCAGGGGACCTGGGCCAGCAATTTCCTGGGCTCCTCCCCCTTTCCTAACAGACTTCTGGGGACTAGAGGCCCTGAGTCATGCCAAGTACAAACTCAGCTGACTTAATTCCTGTTCAGAGTATCCTACCGTTTTTTCTTTTTCTTTTTTTTTGAGAGCCACCGTGATCCATTTATAATGTATTTAATCTGTTTTGATATATGTATTAACATACTGTAAGGGCCTGTATATTCTAAGAAAAACTGATCAAACAATTGTATGTGTACAAATTTAGGAAGGAATATGCAAATTTCCTCCCTGCCAGAGGATTGAAAGAAGCAAGAGGATTCTCTTTAGTTGGGGATATTAGGCAGAAGGACATTCTTAACACTCTTACACCGCATGCTTATACCACATATTTACGGTTACTGATCAGCGCAGTCGCAGTCGAATCTCCTATATCTGTTTTGGAGGTACAAGCCAGGCAACCACAACAGCACAGGTCTTCACACATTTGGGCTGCCCATCCCTAGAATTGTGGACAGTTGTGTACCATCAATTCATTTTTAAGTTAACATCTAAAAAATGTTCATCATAAGTTTCAGTAGTTGCAAAGGATATCAATGCAGTATATTTTAAATAGTGGTATGTTTTGTAATAAAATCTTACCATTTGCAACCACATGGATGGAACCTAGAGGGTATTATGCTAAGTAAAGTAGTCAAAGAAAGACAAATACCATATGATTTACTTATATGTGAACAAACAAAATAAACAAACAAACAAAACAGAAACAGACTCATAGAGACAGAGAACAAACTGATGGTTGCCAGATGGGAGGGGACTTGGGGGTCTGGGTGAAAAAGGTAAAAGAATTAAGAATTACCAATTGGCAATTACAAAATACGGGGGATGTGAAGTACAGCATAGGGAATATAGCCAATAATATAATAAATGTATATAGTGCCAGATGGGTACTAGACTTAATGGGGATCACTTCGTAAATTATATCAGTGTCTAACCACTGTGCTGTACATCTGAAACTAATACCGAATGCCAACTGTAATTGAAAAATAAAAAATATATGTATAAAAAATTTGCAAATTTAGCAACTTAAAACAATACAAAATAAATCATGGTATTTTTAAAGTGTCCATTGTAGACTGAATTCCATAGTAATATGATACTCAACCATCTATTTTCGTAAAGTTGAAAATTTTATATTCTTTTTTCTTCTTGAACTCATTATTTTCTTTCTGGTTTCCTCTCACAGAAGTTTATTTCTCAAAATTCTATTTAACAAAAAGTGTACATACATATTTAACTGAAATGTTATTTTCTGCAATATAAGATTCTAACTTATTAAAAATATCTCAAGGGAGTTATTAATACACAGTTGATCAAAATAATAGAAACAAATTTGATATAAATTATTAAATATAAAGAGTAAAATGGGAAATATATCAATGAAATCAGTAGGGTTGCTTTTGCCTCCATTAGTTCATATTTTCATGTTTGATTATTACTTGATGGAATGAAACAAAGTTCAGCATAAGTTTTATTCCCATTTTTCGTTAACGTGAGAGTTGAGAGAACATGTCCATATAAGTAAGTAGATGAATTTCCAAGTTTTATTATAACAGTATCACTCAGGCGAGTCTAAATGATTTTAGAGTTTTATGCAAAAAACACAGTCATCTATATGTAAAAATTGTTTAAATAAGCCTACCAACTCCTCTTTCAGTTTGTTAAAAGCAAAAATTGAAAACCACCTAAGTTATTAGCCTGTCATTAGTCATTTGCTTTTCAACACCAAATGTTGAAATAAATACTTTTACTTGGTTATTGGAGGTTCTTCTTGAGAACTTGGTAAGGGTGGGTGAGTGGCCTGCCTCTCCCTCCCAGAGTCAGAGAAGAGTAACGGAAAGAAGCAGTCACAAAGAGAACCTGCATACTTGGTGTGTTCTTGGCAAGTCAGTTTTAAGAGAGAGAAGTGAAAATTATAGATCTAGACATCTGTTCCTGATGCTCATGTTCCTAGGCAATCTTGGAGACAGCCTTTGTGTGCTGAATGGGAAAGCATATCCCAGCAGGAAGACCAGTGACCCACTGAGCCCTGTAACAGATACCTAGTCTTCTGAGCTGAATTGTGTTTCCTCAAAATTCACATATGGAAGCCCTAACTCCTAGTGCCTCAGAATGTAACTGTATTTGGAGAAAAGATGTTTAAAGAGATAATTAAGTTAAAATGGGGTCATTAGGATAAGCCCTAATCCAATATGACTGGAGTCAGACAACACAGGCAGAGGAACAGCCATATGAGGACACAGAAAAGATGCCATCTGCAAGCCAAGGAGAGAGGCCTCAGAAGAAAATAAACCTGCTGGCACCTTGACCTTGGACTTTCAGCCTCCAGAACTGTGAGAAAATATATTTCTGTTGTTTAAGACATCCAGTCTGTGGCATTTCATTATGGCAGCCCAGAGACTAATGAAGATTTTGGTACTGGAAAGTGGGGTGCTGCTGTAATAAATACCTAAAGATGTGGAAGCAGCTTTGGACTGGGTGGAGGATGGCAGAGTTTTGAGGCTCATGTTAGAAGAACCCTAGATTGCCTTGAGATTGTCGATAGAAATATGGTGTCAAAGGCACTTTTGATGAGGACTCAGAAAGAAAATATGGGAGGTGTATGTAGAGGAAGCTTCTGTCATCTTAGAGAATGTACAAACAGAATATTGCTAGAAACAGGAATGTTAAAGGTACCTCTGAGGTCTCATGCTACCAGACACTGGAGGAGAGGCGATCCTTGTTAAAAAGTGGCAAAGAACATGGCCAAATTGTGTCATAGTATTTTGTGGGAAGTAGAACATTTAAGTGAAGAACTTTAATATTTAGCAGAGGAGATTTCTAAGCAAAGTGTTATAGATGCTGCCTGGTTTCCTCTTGCCATTGATAATAAAATGTGAGGAGAGAGAGATAAATTGAAGAATTGTTAAGCAAGAAAGGAAGCAGAAGTTATAAAGATTTGGAAAATCCCTAACTTCTCAGTCTCAGTCTATCCCTATTTGTTGCAAAAAAGAAAAAGAAAAAAAATGAGAAAGCATTCTCTGAAGGAACACTAAGGTTATGACTGGACAGTGTTTGCTAAACAGATTAATAAAGAATGTGACTCAAGGATCCAATCAAACATCTCAGCAGAAATGCCAGCTTAAACCGAAGGTGACAAAGACAGGACAAATGAAAGAAGGCTATCGGGGACTTCTGGGAATCTACAGATGGACCACTAGAGCTGTCAGGCTGTGACATGTGTTATCCAGTTGAAGGTGGTAAATCCACCAAGCCTATTCTCTCTGCATCACGGTTAGTTTTCTGATGATTTAGTATATAACAAGCTGTCAGATGAGATGTCTTTGAAGATATACCAAGGAACCCTGGGAAAAGGACACCTTGCTCAACAGAACTAAATTCCTCTTGACTTTAATCATTGTATGTATATACCCTCAACAAGAGTCCTTGGTATTTTATATACCATTTGGGGCAGGATTAACAGACTAGCTCTCTTGTAATATTAAAAAGGCAAGGTTTTCTTCTTAGCATTGGGAGAATAAGATCTGCAGTGACACCTTTTGACCACCACATGGCAGTCTGTACACAGGCAGCTCCCACATTAACCCAGGAGAGTTCCTTCTAAGCCCATTTGTTTGGGCTCTTCTGGCTTTAGCGGTATCCTTGTTTCATTAAAATTTTATCTGGGTTCCAGTATTTCATAGGATGATCTCTTATTAAATCTCATTTAAATGAAGTATGAGTAAAAGTCATTTAAAGTAAAAATTATTCCAAATCAAAGTAATTTAGATTCCATAAAACTATAAAATTTAGCACAGTATATACATTTGGAGCTTGTTACTCCTTTCACTAAGCTGAGTAGAAACAACATGCAACTTAAGCTATTTCTCTGATTAAAAGACCTGAGTGTGACCTCTTGGTCTTTCCATCTGAAGCACTCAGACCTTCCATAGCAACTTGCTGAAGCTTCTTAATTCTCATTTGCTCAGTAGCTTCTCTGAAACTACCTACCCTTGCTCACATCCCAGCCTCCCTACCCACCTCCTTAACACTACTGTCCCCTACTGTCACAGTAGCATAAGACCGGGGCACAGTCCTCCACAGTCTCTGATGGCTTAGTGAGGTGGCTCACCAGCAACAGATTCCATGGGGACAGGAAGGTGCTTTATTAGTTTGAGGCTTGAAAACATTGGAGGTCTGCATACAGGAGCGCCATAACTGGGGGCTCAGTGTTCAGGAGAATCATGGAGGCTGGATCAGGAGGGGTGAGGCCTGGCACTGGGGACAGGGCTTGTCAGCCTTCAACTCCTTTTACAAGGAGATGGTGATAATGTGTCCTGTCTTCCTGCGGGCATGGGGATGGTTTGGGCACCACTGCTGGAAATATCCAATCCTGGTTCTTTCCACTGGAGCTCCACGCTTGCCAAACCAGTTCAGCTCTCACTTCTATGGGAAGCCTTTGCTGATCCCTGCAACCGCTGAGCTTGGTCTGCTCCATTCACTAGCAGCAATCATTGAGCACCAACTGTATGTCAGGTACTGTGTTAGGGGCCAGGCATGTGAAATCACATGTCATGGTTTCTGGCTATGAGGAGACAAGTAGAGGAGACTGAGTTAAGGCGACAGAGTGGAGTGTGAGAAAGGACAAATATAGTACTATGTGGTGTGCCGTTGGGGCACAGGGTGCTTCCTGGGGGAGGTGGCGCCGAAACTGAGTGCTCAATGAATAGATCCTAAGGACTTTTCGTCCTCCCCAGGTTTTAACTATTGAGAAATAGATCTAATTTAAAAAATAACTGACATGAGGACATTCTCAAAGTAGGAATTTTAAAATGTAATCTGGCTACCCATCATTAGCTTTCATCAAAATATAAATGGGTTGGCCAGTGGGTCTTAATACCTACGCTGGCTCCTTTACTGATCACCCTTATAGTTGGGCGGTTCTCAGTGTGGCCAGGACCAGAAGTATCAGCATCCCATGGGAGCTTGTTAGACACATACATTCTCAGGCCCTTTCCAACCGTGTTGAATCAGTGATGGGGCGCAGGGTCAGCAGTCTGTTTTAACAAGCCCTCCCTCCGGGTGATTGAATTGGTGCTCAGTTTGGGAACTATCGTTCTCATCTTCAGAGCTGGTGAGTTCTCTTTGTAAGAGGCTGGGACTGCATTCACCTTTTCCCTCCCTGCTTTGCCTAAGGAAGTCCCTTCAGCAGTTCTGCCACTCTTCTCCCAGGAAATAGGAAAGGGCCATTAAAGAAAGGCATCTTCTAGGTCTAGCAGAGACCTTTCCTCTGGGCGGCTCTCTGGGGCCCTCACTAGACTGCACTTGACAGCTATTGACTGCTTCATCTGCCCCATATTTGAGCTGATGGTTCATGCTGAGAATTGCTGCCAGAGCCTGCTGTGTGTGTGTGTTAGGTCTCAGTGAAACAAATCACCCTGAAGAGATTATCTCAGTTAATCAGGCCTCATCCTTCTGGGCATCTGATCGAGTGGATTCATCTTTGAATATGAATATGGTGGTTAAACTGCAACTCTGGTGTCCAACCAGGCAATTAATTAGATGGCTTTTCTCCCTGGAGGATGCAATTTTCCGGAGTCTTGTGTCCAGCAGCTTGCCTTGGCAGGCCATGCAGCCTGGTGTGACAGCTAAATTTGTGTGCCATCTTTGTCTTTGCAGGAATGAGTTAGAGCGACAGTTCCTTGAATTGCTCCAGTTCAACATCAATGTTCCTTCCAGTGTTTATGCCAAGTATTATTTTGATCTTCGTTCTCTGGCAGAAGCAAACAACCTGAGCTTTCCTTTGGAGCCCCTGAGCAGGGAAAGGGCTCACAAGCTTGAGGTAACGTGCTTTAACATACTGGTTTTTAGTGCACTACTGCAGATACATTATCTGGGTACAGTGGAAGGGTGTGATCACGATGACAATTTCTCCACTATGTGTTGTAAAATAAGGACACCCTGTAAAATAAGGGTACCCTGGATTTAGAGTTAGTCAATTAATTTAGTTGATTAGAACTTTACAACCTTACATTTTCAGTAACCTTAATACCAGTTTTTATTTAATGTGAATTTATTCTATTTTTTAAATCAAAGAAGATTTTTTTTAACTTTGTTTTTAAAAAAAATAAGGCCAAAAAAAAGGAATTTTCCAGCATGAGCTTTTATCAGGCGAAAGATACTAGATGGCCCTAATGATTGGGAATCGAAAAAGGATTGATTCTGCTTTTCACTTTTCAAAATATTTTCCCCACAGCTAGATTAGAGCCAGGGCCCGCCCCACTGGCCTTGGTATGGATTTCGGGCCTTCATTGTTAAGCTGTATGACTTTTGTGTCTCATACTTGTGTGGAGATTAGCGTCATATTTGCACCTAGCTCTTCCCATCTTTTTGGCTGGATGAAAAGCGGTAGAGTGATAAGAGGCTCACTGGTGAGATGCCCCCGCTCCTCCAGAGCAGGTGTTTAGAAGCCCTCTGCACCTTCATCTCTGGGCCCATGTTGGTCTCATCTCATTGAACCTTTGACCAAAGTGGTAGATGGCACGGTCATCTCCCAAGCTTGGTGAGACCTAAGAAGTCTATGCTGCCTGCCCCATTGTCCATCCCAAGTGAACTGTCCTCCCCTGGTCAACAGGGTCAGAGTGGCCCGAGTACTGGTCTAATAGAGTTAACAGCTACGAACAAAGCAAAGTCTAGAGGTGAGGAAAGAGGGTTGGTATGGATTTCAAGCTCAAGAATGCAAAACTTTTAAATAAAAATTTAAAAAGTAAATAATATGTGAGTTTCAAGACGGAAACTTAGTAAAACTTAGTTTAGAAAAGACTGGATACACAGCACTGGGTTTAAAATAAAAATCCAGTGAGATTTTTAGAACTCAGCCTCTTTTCTGTCATTGTATGCCAGCCACTAGAGTGAAACCGCTCCTTAAGTCTCCCATTTCTCTGTATTCAAGTGCAAATCATGGGAAACCCTTCCTCTGAAGGACTTTCTCCAAGGCAAATACTGTCAAACCTTTGCAAGCATACACGTGAGATGGAATTCAGTGCCAGGGTGAGCGTGAACCCTGTTTGAGCTGCGCAACAGTCCCACTCTCCTAGTTTACTGAGATGGGCTCCAGTCACCCCTGCAGCTCTGTGCTCCTGGGAGCCATTTGGTGCTGAAGGAAAGTAGGTCTGTGGTTCTCTGAGCTAGGAAACCTAGTGGTTCAGGTCAGCTACATGGGGAGCACACAGGCTGGCTGAGACTGGGTGGGGGGTCGGTGGCAGCTCTTAACTCCGTTACCTTATCTGAGTGGAAAGAGGCGAGTACGCGCCTACTCCTGGGGGGTGGCCGTGCCAAGTGTCCCTAGGGGCTCACCGGGCAAGAGGGAGCCAGCAGTCCTAACATGACTGTTTTCTCTCTGTCTCCTCCCAAGACACAAATCTTCCCCTCCTCTGTAGGGCTGGACAGAAGCACTGTCTGGGAAAGCAGTTGACACTCTTTTGCAATGATTTTTTAGGAACGAGGTTTCATTGTTTTCCAGACCATAGCATCCTTGTTAGTCCGTTTGGTTAGCAAACTTGAATCGCATAAAGGAAAGCAGGGACTGAGACCTCATAGAAGTACCCATTTTCTGAAATTCTGTGCTTGTTCAGATGTCCCACCAAATGACTGTTTTGATATGCTGGCTACAGGAAACGAGTGCACCAAGTGCCAGGGCAAATGCAAAGTGGCTTTTTCATTAGCAGGGCCATTTCTCTTCGCAATAAATTAGTATATCTCTGTGCCTGTGGGAATGTGATTAAAGCTAACATCAGTTTGCGTAATAAAGTCTAGAATAAAGTAGTACATTGCTAATTTGTTATGATATTGCATTCAGACTCATACTGTTTATAAGCTGAGAAACAACAGATGGTAATATTAGGAAGTTTAAATGAAGATAATTTGCTTTAAAAAAATGATTGCTCTAATACCCTTAAGGAATCTGATTTTCTGTTCTTTATATATGCCACCTATATTATGTGTACAAAACATATTTCCAATGAATTCTCAGTGTTATAGCCCACCAGCAACCCTACTTCATCTCTCATTTAGAAGAAGACAGCCTCGACTCCTGTCTCCTCCGGTCCACCCTCCATGGCGCCAGTGCAGTTGTTTTTCTAAAATGCAATTGTAGGTTTTGGAATGTTAACTCTTAAAGTCATCAGCACTTTTGCATTGCCAGCCTGTGGGCGGCCGTGTCAGCCTGGCCCTGGCAGCTCTGCTTCTCCATCCCCTGCTGCCCTGCAGTAGCCGTCCCTGAACCGTGCTCTCGACCTCCTCTCACCATGCCAGCACACGTAGCTGCGGTTTTGTGCCCTGCTGAGAATGCCGCATCTCTCATGATAATCTCCTCTCCTCCAAGCATAGTTATTTAAGCCTAGTTCTGATGGCCAGCCTCAGTCATGAGTGTCCCTTCAGCGATTCCCCAAAATAGAATCAGTTGCTCAGTCTCCCTCTGTTTTCGGTACTTGGGTCATGCTTGGTACGTCCATGCCTCTGTTATGTGCATATCCCATCTGGAACTTATGTTATCCATTCAACACATATTTACACATATTTACTCAGGGCGCTCTAAAGCGAGCGGGTCCAGCTTTTGTCATGTGCTCTCTCCTGGTACAAGCGGGTCCAGCTTTTGTTATGTGCTCTCTTCTGCACAGTGGCAGCCCCAGGAGAGCTGTGGCCACACTCTGACCCCAGGGCAGGCCTGGCCCTGCTCTTAGCTGTGGCCCTCCCCCGTGGAGTCTCACTGCCCTCATCAGCAGAATGAGGACTACATTGATTATCTCTGCATTCCGTGTTTCTGTGTCCCCTCTGGTTCCCTTCTGCAACAGTGCTATAGAGATGACTCAAATACCCAGTCATCTGCTCTAACTCAGTCTCTGATTAATAATCATTGCCCACTACTGAGCTCTCCCCATGCACCTAACACGGAGCTCCAGTGCATCATGGCCTCGCTGTGAGGAGGGTGCTGTTATTACCCCATTTGCAGACGAGGATGCTAAGGACTTAAAAAGGGGCACATACCCAGGTCACAGGTGGGGAACCACCATTGAACTGGAGCTGGCTGACCCCAGGCTACACTGTCATAGAGCTGTCTCACATTTTGAGATTGTTTTCTCAGTTAGGCTGCAAGCACTTTAGAAACAAGGACCATGTGTATACTTCCTTCCTATACACCACTGTGACTGGCACGGGTCTGGGCCATGGGATGTGAACCACACGGGGTAGGGAGGGACTCCTACTGGTTTCATTCATGAGCATCTTCAGTGCCTAGAATGGTGCTGCTCACAGCAGTGCTTGGTGTCCGGTGAGTGAGCGGGTGGAGGGCATTTCCATCCTGAATGGTCTCTCTTCTTCCCGTCAGGCCATCTCTCGCCTCTGCGAGGACAAGTACAAGGACCTGAGGAGACCCACAAGGAAGCGGTCAGCAAGTGCTGACAATCTGACTCTGCCGAGATGGTCCCCAGCCATCATCTCCTAACTGTGGGTGTCCTCACTGAAGGCTGTACCATCCCTCAGTTTCTCCTTTAGTTTGAGAAAAGACAGACTTGGGGTGGTTTTGTTTTTGGTTTTTCTTTCTTTCTTTCTTTCTTTTTTTTTTAAATCCATAGCTCCATCAGGCTGCCTTGATGACCGCCTCTGAGCTGTGTGGCTAACACGCAGCGAGGCTTTGAGGGAAGCAAAATCAGTATTCTGGAAATTCTGTTTCACACCTTTCCCTATCATCAACAGCATTCCTTCATGGAGGAAAAAGACTCTAATCCTGGAGGAGGAAATAAAGGGAAAGGGAAGTCGTGTAGAGGCAGGGAAAATGGTTAAATGGCATGGCCATTTCTTAAGTCCCCCATCTGGTCAGTAGGTGAATACGACGGAAAACACAGCAGTAGGTTAACACAGTTGGACGTGCATTAAAACACAAGAGTACCGCCTTTATCACCTCCGTCTGGATCAGTCTGTTCCGTAAGACTTCTTGCATTCCTTCTGGCAGCTTTTTTGGGATTTGGGGGATTTTTGTTGGTTTTTATTCTGTTTTGGTTTTGGTCCCACAGAGCAGAGAATATAGTTTGTACCCACCATGGCACAGACATCCAAATAAATAGTACCGGTTGTTTCTCTCTGCACTGTCCCTGCGAGCTGTCTCCTGAGCTTTCTTCCTCACAGGTGGGACGCACTCGTTAACGCTTCTCTACACCTTTATTTTATACAGTTTTTCTTCAACAATGGCAAAATTAACTTGACTATAGTGCTGAACCAAAATTATCCCTTTCCCTCTTTATTCCTCACCCCCTAAAAATTCTAACATGGGTGCTTGTGCCTTCCAATTTTCATGCAGTTTTTTTTTTGTTGTTGTTCTGACCTGAAGTTGTAGTTACAAATCAGTCAGACGTCGTGAGCCGAGGAAACGATGTGCAGTAGAGGGTGTCCTCAGCCAAGATTTTCCAGAGTGCTGGGTGTTGTCCTGAAGTTATTGAGGAGGAGCCATTTCTTTGTACACCCTGCCCAGTCCATTCCTCTACTTCTACATCCATTGTTGCAAGCAATATTCTTATCAACTTTTATATGTTTACCTTAAATTGAAGTTAGTATAAATCAAAGTTATTTGTATAAAATTTTTTAAAAACCTAAAATAAAAAAGGTGGGGGTTGGGTATTCCAGTGGGAAGATCATTAAAGGGCAAAATGTTACTATTTACTGAGATATTTTTCACAGAATGATAGGAAAAAAAACTCAACTTGCATTTTAATCGTGGGTGCTTAGAGAAGTTATACAAAATTCAAACTGTGAAGGTTTATGCTTCATTATGACCATCCTTTTTTGTTTTCTGACTATCCCTAATTTGCTTATGGGCTAGATAGTAATCTTTTATAAAGTAAAATAAAAAGGTTAATGATCAAATATCAAAGTAAATCTGATATTAAGTCTAAGAATTGGAGTCAGTGAAGCATATAATGCTTTGAGTTTTTGCATATTTTCTTGAGTCACAATGACAGGTTCTAAGCATTTTCCTTTTTCAAGTCTCTGTGAGGCAAACAGCAGCAAATACTCTGTGTTTCGCCTTTCTCCTGTGTGAGCTTGGAAAACTTTGGAACTCTATATTATTTGTCTTGAGTACCCTAAAATCATACACCTGCTCCCCATACATGCCTGCTCCTGATGACACATGCTTTGGAAATGGAAGGAATTCAGAAAGTCAAAACCCCAAGAACACCAAGCTAAGAGTGCTGGTCAGGTTTCATTGAATTTTGTATCATGTGTAAACATAACTGGGCCAGAAATATTGTCAAGTTCTTTCTAAACTTTCAAAAGCAAACACGCAGAACAGGAAAAGTTCATTATTTTTCCATTGTAATTGTGTGGATATACTCTGTATGGGTACCAAAATCAGCATCTCTCTTCAAGTAAGAGTTGGATTTAGAACTTTAGAAATCTAAAAATGTAGAAAATATCATTTTATATTCCCTATTCTATATAACTTACAAAGGGACATATTTTTCTTAGCTGAATCTGAATACCTCTCAAGCATAAATTAGTTTCTCTCATGTAAAGTATTTTACCAATCCATTTCAAGGAAATAGGTTCTGCTGCCTTTAAAGCAGAAATCTTATTTTTATCCCTTTTATTTGAATGAGAGAGATTTGAAAATTGAATTATGTAAATATATCAATGCATCTGCTATTATTTTGTGGAGTTTATTAAACTACTTTAAAAAATTGTATAGTCTATTTATTGTATGTATGTACATATAGTCTGATAACTTAAAATTTAAAGTGAATCCCATAAACCCCAGCTCAGTCTTTGTTTAGACTGTTGAATATGTTTTAGCCTTGTGCACTGGACTCTACCTCTGTATAGGAAAAATTTCCATATTCATTAATAAGTATTGATCTGTATTAATTGGTTATGTTTCTTGCACTAAGGATTTTTAAAACTCCTGTAAGTGTAGATTTTACTTTTGCAGTATGAATCACTTGACACATAGGTAGATACTTTAGGTTTGTTTTATTTTTCTCCATGATGATGAAGACATTTTGTTCTCTGGTTTGTTCTAAGTTTGCCAAAAAAAAAAAAAAATCTCAACAACAGCAGTACAAGTACAGTACTATTGATAAATCGTAGTGACTGTAATTTGTTTGCAAAGTGATTCAATGCCCTAAAATTAAAGCTGGATTACTCTTTAGGAATACATCGTCTTAGTGCAGTTTTTAAATGCACAGTTTTCATCACTAATGAGGGATGAAAAAAACCACACAATTTGTTGACTTTAATTTTAGATTTGACTGAAATAACAAAGTCACTGGGAGAATAAGTATATAGCTCAATGAAAAAAAAATTTTTTTTTTTACTTAGATTTACCTTTTTTTTCTTTTAACTGAGAAAAGGGAAAGAAGTCGGGGATTTAGAACCAAATTGGAGGGTGAGCTGGGAGATCCTGTCAAGATCAAGATCTGCTTCCATGCCTTACTGCACAAGAGCAGAGCTTGGAGCGTTGCCTGCCCCCATGGACTGAATCCCTGAGCTCCTTCTGTGGGCCTTGGCAGGGGCCTCTCCATCTTGGAGTTTCTCTTGATTATGGGGATTTTAATCCTCAGCTGAGGGGCAAAGCAAAATTCTAGGAGTGAGCAATTTCTATCCTTTCTGGCTTCTTTTGGTAACCTCTCACCACCTGGGGCCATATTTTACAGCTTTGGATTTTTTAAATGATAAAAGTATTCCTGGTTCATTGTAGGTTTTAATAAGTGTTAAATAAATACATACATAGAACAAATAGTGTCTGCCTTTCTGCTACATTTTTTTGAACATTGTTATAAAATTCAACAGGTTTTATAGATGCTGAGTGGACCAAATCTTTGCAAGAGCAGTGGAAAAGAGTCTTATAAGTCTTGAGTGACTCAAATAAGTACTAAGACCTTCAGCAGTTGAGATGGTTGCAAGGTAGAGACCTAGTAGAGCTCATCACATTTATATCAGTGCCTTATTTTATCTTTAATCACTTTATCCCCTTAACTTCGTTGAAGTCAGTATTTCAAGACTTAGGTTGGATGGATCTCAGAGATGTGGATCATCTTCCCAAAAGCCAACCAGAGAGTCCCACTCTTGTTGAAAAGAGGAAATGGGAAACACCTTGGAGCTGAAATGGGAAAAGGATACTTAAGGATTAATTTGAGATTTATGTTTTAAGGTATGTGGTTTGCAAGAAAAACCCTACACATGTCTTCATTAAGATCATGATTTGCTATTACTGAATGCAAAGTTAGTAGAGCTATTATCCCACCTGAAAACAAATCCCCACAGGTGCCAGACAGGCCTCAGCACAGGTGAGGGAGTGTCAGAGTGTTCGAAGCCACAAAATTGGTGATGGAGTTTGGACTTGACTAGGTCAGCCAAATTTCTTCATTTTCTTACCAAGTTTGTATATGTGAAGCTGCTAAAGGTCTACTGTGTCACTTTCTGTTAGAAACTTTATCAATAAAGAGTTCAGTGATTAGCACCAAAATGATCTGCTTTTATTCATCTCTCAGTTGAAGAGTCACTGGATGCAGCTCTGTGTCTGTATTGCTGTGAGGACTTGTCCTGGCAACTTATCCTATCCATTTGCAAGTCTTTGTAGAACACATTCTGGAAGAACCTGTTACTGTGAGAAATGTCTGACTGAATGGTGTTACAGGTCTTAGTAAGCCTTCTTGTGTCCTTTAGTGACTTGATTTGGCAGAGGGCTTTATTCCTTTGAAGAGCTTTTGTTTATTATGAATGTTTTCAAATGCAGGATATAAGAATGACATTCCAAAATAATTGCCGTTTTGGACAAAGGTAGTAAGTGTAACTAGAACTCGTGTGTAACATTATGTTAATATTGGTATTGGTCTTTATTATAATGAAACCTTGGGTTTCAGTCTCATTTCAAAGTTAACTTGTTGTATGACCTTGGACAAATTACCTCACCTCCCTGGATCATTCAGTGAACTTGACTGGCAGAGATACACTTGCTGGTTGTTTTCACCATCTGCCTTACTCTGTTCCTGAGCATACACTTCTCAGCCAGTTGTTGGGTACTGCTGTGCATGGATGTAGGAAGGCTGTGAAAGACAAGTGCAAGACTAACTGGAGTTTCCCTGGGGGAAATTAGTTGTCTCTTCCATAGTTCCCTCCTAAAGAAGGGTGGCCATGGGTAGATCTGTGAAAGGCATGGGGGTTCAGGTTTTAGCTACTGCCCATCCTCTCCCTGGCTCTGTTCTAATGCAACTGAATATCCACCTCGTCCTCTAGTTCGGTTTTCCCGGACCTGGTTTGTGGATTCTTGTCCACATTGATGGATGCAGAAAATCTCGAAACAGTGAAGTTGTTTGTTGGGATATTTCCAAAGTGAATCTTTGGGAAAGGCTGCTTGATCATTGTTAATCCCCAGATGAGCCTTCTTAGAACAACAGACCAGAAGCTCTGGAAGCCCAGCCTTGGAAGAGAAGTATTCTGCTGCTCCTCCTGTATGGCAGTTCCTGTCAGCCCAGGAGAATGGAAAACAGCCATGTGCAAGCTTCCCAAATCTGCCCCTGCTCACCAGCTCTCATGGTCTACTTAAAAGACTTGTGTTTTGGGGGACCAAAGAGTCAGGGTTCACTCCAAAGAGAAGAGCAGCATTTAGGGGACAGCATATGGTAAAACGATTCTGCAGGGTCAGCACACCGTAGGACAAGGCCTCACCAGGACACTTGGACCTTTGGTCTGGCAAGTCTCACAGCTTTGCTGGATTCTGAGTTGCCTCCTCTAAAACAAAGAAATGTGTCATTCTCTAGATTCAGAGTTTTTCCACTCTTAATAGTCAATTATTCTGTGAATAACTTCATTCTGGATTTTTCTAGGACCAGTCTTGAGACAGAACAAATTTACTCACCCCTGCAATCTTAAAAAAAAAAAAAAAATCAGAACTTGGGAAAACCTATGATGCAGCATTCCAAATCCGAAATGCTCATTAACTCCCTTAAATAGTTGTCTGCAGCATCCTGCTCCAAGCGCTGGCCTCTTATATGTGAGCAAATCTGGAATGGAAAGGTTAAAAAGCCAGTTTACGTCTTCTTACTCTACAGTTAGTGCTCTTGCACCAAACCACAGCTATTTCTCTATTGTAAATCTGTAAATACAAAAGAAATGTATACTTCAAAAAACTCATGGTAAATAAGGTACAATTCATAGAGCTCCTCTTAGAAAATCATGAGATTACCTGCAGCTACAATAACTGTAATTTCCCTTTCATAATTAAAGTAGTAATGTGAAATAGGGGAAAATACGCTGACTCATTTTACTAGGAATAAAAGTTATCAATATATTATAACTAAGTATATGTTACAACATTACTGTTTTCAAAAACTTGTTAGACTGAAATAGGATACCTCCTGGAATAAATTGTTATTTTATCAAAAGTAAGATATTGACATCTGAAATATGGTCTCTGAACTGGCTATACTTTTTCTCACTATTTTCTCCTTATTATTGGTGGAAGTGAAAGCTTGCCTCCTATTAATGTACTCAGGGGATAAAGTCACTGCCCAAACCTGGGACACCTGTTGTTGGTAGCAATAGTTTTGAAATTCTGGAAAGCTCATCATTTCCTATGGAAAATATTAAAAACCTCCCCTTTGGAAGAGGCCACTGGGAATGTCAACATTTGACTGCTGGAAATAAATGGTTTTGAATTAAGAATATATTATTTTATCCAATGGACCAAAAATAAATATATGTACACATATATGCTGTTTGTATGTAATTCACACACACATAGATACATACATATATATATTATATAATATATATATATATAATATATATATGCTTTTTAAATTATATTTCCCATATCTACAGTGCTGGTTTTTAAATATATAAATAAATACATGCATTTGAAAATGACTAAACAAAATACCTCAATTCATTTTCCTAAAAGCTATTTCTATCTCCTTTTGTTTGCAAAGGTGATTGGTCAGGATTGTGTTATGTGATACTCTGGCATTCTGTTCTTAAGAAAATTGCCTCTGAGTGTCATTTTGCTCTTCTACAACCTAGAGATACATGTCATTAGGTTTTTGGTCTCATACAGTTAAAAAAATCAAAAGCTCAAAAGCAGAGCCTTAAAAATGTTAAAAGAAAGTAGCCTTTTTAAGCACAAGGATTTTTATCCTACATGAAAAACTCAAATTTGAATTTAAATGACAGCTAAATTTGTCATACAGCAAAAATACAGGCAGCTATAGTATTGTGAAATAAAATTTCTTATCAAAAGATTTGACTAGTTCCATCACAGTCTTAAGGCAATTTAGTCTATATGTTATCATTTTTAAAAGCCCAAATTAACATTTATGCTTATGATTAAGCTCAATTTATCTTCTTTTTTTACTTAGAAAACATACAGAGCTATTCAATGCCAAGAATTGTAATAAATTAATAATTTTTCTTGTAAATGTCACCACATTTCAAATGAGTTGACATTTTGGTTTGTTTTAAATCTAAATAATAGACATTGAATCAAAAGGATATTACAAATATTGATAAAATACTGTTGGAATATGAAATTTTACCAGAGGAATTTACTCAATTGAAATTCTTACAGTCTTCAAAGGTCACTGTTCTAAGAGCGATTTCAAATTGTATCATTTCAATTTCTTTACAATATTTCTCTTTTGTTATTAACTGTTCTCTAATTCTTTTATATAACATCTCAGTATTTCTT